TGATAAGGGGAGTGGAGCTGCCAGTGGCTGGGTATTTTGGGTTGCATGGTATTCTTGAGGTTATTCCTGGGTCTATATAACAGAGCTCAGGTCCTATGATAGTGTCCTGGCTGGTTTGAGTAAGTGGGCCTAGAATTGGTTAAAATTATAAAATGTCTTTTATTTTCTTAATTAACACTTAAAGGTCTGTGCACACTGAGTCTGAAATTTTCGTATGTGTTTTTTCGTATTCGTTATCCAAAAAATTTGTCACGCACAGAAACCTCACACACTGAGTCCAATGCATATTAATTAATCCGTTGCGAAAAAATTCGCAAAACAGCACTAAATAGAGTCTTCAAGCAGTGAGGAGGATTTTGTTGTTGTTCTCACTTCTTAAAAAGAGAAATATTGGGTCCATCCAATCCTGAGATATAGAGAGGAAGGAGAGTTCCCCCTCAGGAGCAGCGGGATTATCCTGGGCGATTCAAAGTTTACTTCAGGATGTCAGTGGCTCAGTTTGATGCTTTGCTAGCGATACTAGAGCCACATATTAAAAAGAAGACCACCAATTTCTGTGAGCTCAGTGTGTAAGGATCTTTACAGTGCTTTGTGCTGCGAGACGAAGTGAATGAACTTGACAATCGCCATTCTGGATTTTGGCGTTCGCTTCAAAGAAGACCACCAATTTCTGTGAGCTCAGTGTGTAAGGATCTTTACAGTGCTTTGTGCTGCGAGATGAAGTGAATGAACTTGACAATCGCCATTCTGGATTTTGGCGTTCGCTTCTACGGTGGCTCTGATTTGTCAAAACACCTCTCAAAATGCTTGCTACGGAGGCGAAAAACGGAAAAAATAGAACACGATCCAAATTTTTTTATGACGGACAAAAATTTCGGAGTCAGTGTGTAAACGTGATTGACATAACGTGAGGTCCTATTTATTTTTTAACGTGCAAAAATTTCGGACTCCGTGTGCAATGACCTTTAGGCTTTATTTTCTATATGCTACATTTTATTTATTTATTTATTTACATATGTTTTGGGTTCAGTGTGATCTGGACATATTTTTGAGAGATTCACAATCCGTTTATGGTACCACGTACAGTAAATACCATGCTAAATGAATATCACCCAGTAACATTGTGAATATTTTCCAGTTCTATAGTCTATTAAAAAAATTCCATAATATTACCATTGGATGCTATCATTGCACCATTGTGCTGCCACAATTTCCAAAGGTCTATCCGGTACTGGAAATTTTTTTCGGGGAAAATTATATCAAGAATTATGAATGTATTTGGATCATCATAGTTCAATATTCAGGGTTCAGTACTATGAAAAGAGGTGGGGCAGGTGGCTTGGGTGCCTTCATGTCAGCATGCAACAGAAGATCTCCATTTCCTATCACTTTCCAGTGCTCTTGCATAAGGCCGGTAACAGGTGGTTGTGATATGCGGCTTGATATTGATACTTTAACTGACATAGCACTGCCTAAACATTTATTGGAAGCATTAAATGTTCCTTGTGTTTATAGTTCAGTGTTGTTTGTTGAGTGTACCACCACAAGCGCTCTCACACAAACATAGACACGCATAGTTTTACACCTAGAGTCCTCTAGGCATCATCACATGGAGTATTTTTTGACGCCCCAGCTCAGTTCGCCTTCGGATGAAGGTTGTCTGCAGAGCAGGAAGTGGACGCAAGTCCAGAATGCGTCAGGAATCAGAACACATGCTTCCACGTGTCTGTGTGCTCGGTTTCGGCTTTCACTTCAGGGCTTTAAGTCTCTCCACACCCAGTCCACCAAAGTGTCCACTCATCCTACTGCTGGCTGCGCTGTTGCAGTTTTTGACACATTATCTGCTTCTTGCTGCCGCCACTTGCCGTGACTCTGTGGTGATATATTTTTAGCCCATTTTTGCCTTTAATTATTGCATCCACAGGGAGCTTGGTCCAAAGAACTGTCATGAAATTATTATATAACCGTGTTGCTTAGCAATAAAGCATTGTAATACAATTCTCGAATAGCTCTGCTAGTATAAATCATAGCAGGGAAAGCTTTACAGTGGTGTGGAGCTATTGCTTGGGTCATTCAATACATAAATGTAACGGTGGGACTAACTGTAGGTTGTTTTTCAATCAGGACCTCCTGGTTTGAGGGGAAAGAAAGGCCGTGATGGGGCTCCAGGTAGGTCTACAGTACGTATATGCCTGTGCCTGCAACTCCATGAACTGCTGTTGTGTGTAAGCTGCTACGTATGTGCGCACCTAAAGCTTTTAATAGCAAGAGAAGCATGAAAACACAATCCTCCATTGAGATTTCAAAACATTCAGAGATGCTTGGACTTTACAGAATATATTTAGGGATAAACTAGTGCAGTACTAGGGAGTCCTAGTGCAGAATTAGTGGTATTAATACAACATTTTGGGGTCACATCCATCAAGATTGTATTTTTATAAGAGCTTATAGAATTTTGACTTGAAACATGAAGTCTGTTACTCTTTGCAGCTATTTCTAGCAAAGAACTGCCCACTTAGACAGGAAGTAACTGTCAGACTGATATGTTTGTTTAGCTTTTATTTATCATTTAGGGTAGGTTTACATAAAATGGATTAATAATCCATAATCACAATACTAACTAGTTCCATGAAATAAATAGCAGAGCAGAACTCCACAAATCTTTGTACAGTGTCAGAAAAAAATTGTACACTTAGAGGTACAACAGCTTGTCACTGTCTGGGACAGAAACTTTAAAGGGACAACTTTGTACCCCTAAATGGTACATATTGTTCCCTTGAGGTACTACTTTGAACCTTTTAGGCCTAAATAAGGTACTTTTGTGGTACTGTCCCAGTTACAAACTGTTGCACCCCTAAATGTAAAATTATGCACTTTTTTTTGAAAGTGTATAGAAAATACTGTAAAAAATTGCAGAATAAAATTCTAATTCTCAGCACTTTTCAGGTGCCTTTACTCCTTGAAGATGCATAAAGCCATTGAGATTTGATTTGATGATTTCAGCCATTTTTGTTTCAACCAATATGTATCGGATGGTCAGTAAATGGACTGTAGGTGATTGGAGGCTGCTACTATACGACCTATAGATTCCTCTATATTTTGTGCGTTTAAAGTGGTTTCATGTAAAGAGTCATGGATCACATGGGTAAGATGAGAACGTTTATGATGACAAAGATTGATCTGGAATGTGCAGAGAGCTATTCTTGCATGACCGCACATATTTTGCTTGTGTTGTTCACTCATTGTTTTAGGCCTAGAATAGGGCTTGCTGTCTCAGCAGCAGCTTTGATAAATGCCGGTTCTGATTTCTAAGAAAATACAGGGTTCTCAAAACAGTAAAGGAAAAAATAATGATGGACCCATAGGAAAGCTTTGTCACCGGTGTGACTGCGCCGTTACTTAAGGCTGCCATATTTAATGCACAATTTTGACTTCAGAGCTCAGTGGAAATTTTGATTTCTTCCTTGTTGAAGAATTCTAGTTCATGTTTTCTAGTTGAAACATTTCTCCTGCAGTAAACAATGGTTTTATTGGGACTTTTGTTCTCTCTTCCATCCATTATATAGTTATTTTTTGTAAGTCAAAGATTCAAACTGTTACTCCCCTAAGTTTCTGGCCATGAAAATTTCAAACTCTTTAGAGGACTAAAAAATGGTTTCTGGATGAAAGACCTGGAAAGAAACCATATGATTCAGATTGTTCAGTAGTTCTGTGACAAATTGCTTTGACGGACTGGTTTTGTTCTTGCAGTTGTCCAGATATGATAAGTTATAGAAGAGCGTTCTGGTGATATAAGCGGAAAAGATTTGTCATCAGCAATTTTGAGTTTGTTTTTACTTGACAGAGCTTGAGTTCCTGAAGCTATGATCTCCGTTCTGCTTGATTGCTGTGTCTTTGTCAAAGGATGTAAAAGAGGCCGTACATCCTACTGTGCTTATAATTTTAAATTGTGGTTTTTGTAATACTCAAAATGACTGTTTAACTCATTTTAAAACAAGTTTGTTTAAAGCTTAGACATCCTTTCACATTATAATTTTAAAGAACCAAACCTTTCAAAGCAACTAACCTCATGACTCAGTCCACATGGAATCTGCACCCTTGCATGTTCATAGAGGAGAAACAATGTACAGTATGTGGAAAATAATGTGTTTTTTTAACTTTAAACCACATAAACACATTTCATTACACCAAATACACAAAATAATGTTCTTTTTAGCAGCATCATATGACCCCTTTAAATATTAAAGCATATTTTCATTATGCTTTCAGCAACCAATAAGAGTGTAGAAATCTCAGTTCCATTTAACATAATTTCCTCAGGGTTTTAATCTATCCTGCGTTTTCCACCAGGATCACTGTGAAAAATGTTTAACTTTTCTTTAACTTAACGATGTTAGTGAAATCTGTTTCCACTGTTTATTATGCTGCTAGTATATGATTTAGCATTAGCTATGAAGGAGATGGACGGTTTGTGATGTCTGGGTGGGGTTCGCGTGCTCAGAACGGGTGTGATTTATCTGTGCAGGCAGTCTTCCAGTGATGTGGCTCAATCTCCCACTCAGTTCTCAGTGGTCTGTTGTTTGGTGGGCTGACTGCTCATCCCTGGGCCAGAGACAAGCAACGCTTTCTCACAAAAAGCTTTTCAATCCTGTCATCAACTAAATTATAAACATATTTTTTAACGTTTTATTTACGTACCGAACCTATACTGTGACGCACTTCATTAAACTACCTGCGTGTGAACTCTAATCTTCCTCAGAGGTCGTGTTACGGTAAGAGAAATCGGAGGCAGCGTTCATCAGTTCAGTCTGGGCTGGACAGCCAGGAAACTGGGTTCTGGTTGGACTATGCAAATTCAGACTTGCGTGACAGAAATTTTTCCTGTTCTTGGGGAAATAAAATCCATCAGGGTCAAATGTTTGATGTAATGTGCACATGGACCAAACAAGATGATTTTTTTCTAAATGACTAATTTCTTTTTCTTTCTGTTTTTATTGCAGGTCCTCCTGTAAGTAGATGTTGGTCCCTATGTTGACTGGATTGTGGTAATGTGACCCAAACTCTGTGGCTTTCTGTGTATTTGTGTGTGTTTTGAGAGTGTGAATTTATCTTTCATGTGTTTCCTTACTGTCACTGCTGATGGAGTGCTGATTACACGACTTCATTCACATAATGGAAATTGTTAGTTTCGTTTCCTTCTGCCTCACATAAAACACCCACACTGTCATCTGTCAGAAGAAGAGCTTGTGTTTTGTACTAAAGGTGAAGTGTGCACATTTTGGATGTTGAAATAAAATCTGGTTTAATGTGCAGAGATTCTGTGGCTCTATCAAAACATTGATTAGATTGTTTTCAGCATTCTGTGCAGCCCAACATGGCAGCACTGACTCAACCAATGATGTGAGTTGAGTCAGTTTGGGCAACAAATCACATATAGAGGGGGCGTGTTCTGGAGACTTGTGTGAAAGCAATCATTATTTTTCCAATTTTGCTTGGTGGCACAGAAATGACACACTTCACCTTAAATCGCATGGCATTATCTTGGACATAGCGATGCATTCTTCTGCCTCTTGGACATTGGGAATTTGGCCACGGATATAGAAGACGACAGCATTGGTAGACACAGCCTGTTCAACTTTATATATCTTCTGAGGGCTAATGTTACAGAATGAGGTTATAATGAGAAAGAAGGTCAAAAGAAATATATAGTAGAGGAAAAAAGAGAGTGGAGCAGTATAAAATTAGGTGCGGTTGGACAGCTGCGTCCCTGCAGTTAGAGGGAGAAGGTCGAGCTTAAGTGATTAATGAAATACCAGCAGCCACAGATAAACACTGACCACAGAAAAGACATATCTAAAATGAGATATCTTAACATTTTCTCCTAGAAAGCAGTCAGATTAAATGAAGAGAAAATTGAGTCTTCTGCTGAAACCTACTGTGAAAGAGACCCCAGTAATCTCGGGTTTCTCCTCTAACGTTTTAGAAGGCTAAAGGTTTCAAACTGTTCTAAGATGTGCCAGTATACCAAAGTCTGCAGTCATTTCTCATCAGATTGTCCATAAATCTTTCGACATAGGTTCATTGAAAAAATGTGCCTAAACGTACATTTTTGCAAAACATACCTATACACAAAGTTCATTGTAGTTTCCAGCTGAAATGAACACTAGAGGCAGTAAAACACCAACTTCTTTTTCACTTAAATTATGATTACAGGGCAGATTTTTTGATTAATAAAGGCTTATTTTTGTGTGGTTTCTTGGACAATACTATGTTATGACTTCAAAACACTTACCATAGTGCAAAATTTGTAAACTCATACAATTTGAAGGTTCCATTACATCACCAGCTCATGGCTTTCTGATGTAGTAAACTTGCTTGGTAGCTCACCTTGTACAACATTGCATTTGCTATGTGGAGCACTTGGGTACGAGTCCATGAAACATGTAATAATAAAACAGATCAAAGGCTTGTATAAAATGGCATGGTTACTTCAGCTAATGCATTTTTATCTTACATATTATTTAGGTTTAGGGTAGGGTTTAGTGTAGGGGCATACATTATTTTCAAAAGCAATGGAGCAATAACCTTTTAGCGCCACTCATCAGACATTTCTGATCTGTCACAACTTCATACAACCAACATAATAAAATTCCCCATCATTTGTTTAGGATAAAACGTCTCCAGGTTACGTATGTAACCATGGTTCCCCGAAGGGAACGAGACGCTGCGTCCAAAGACACGGGACGCAGCCCCCCATCCTTCTTTGGAACAATGAAGTACCGGCTGTAGAACCCGGACCCCCTGTCGTGAGGAGGGACCACCTCGATGGCCTCCTTCCTCAAGAGAGTATTGACTTCCTGTTCTAATACCAGAGCCTGCTCGGGGCCCACGAGTGTGGGAAAGACCCCGTTGAATGGTGGCGGAGGAGCGCCGAACTGAATGCGATAGCCTTTCTCTACAGTGTGCAGGACCCAACGAGATACATTTGGCAGTAGATTCCACGCTGCTAAATAATCTACTAAGGGAACCAGTCTCTCGAGACTGGCCTCTGGTGTATTTGTGACTGCTTATTCGGTGCCCTGAAACGGAGGACCGGCAGACCACTCGTAATATAGCGAGGGCAGGGAGGAACACACAGCCTGAAACACTGCTCACTTTCGCCCTTATGCTTTACTATCTCTGTGGCCTTGGACATTGTGCTTAGGACTTTCTATTTTGACAGACAACACCAAATAAGACTCACAACAGAGATATAACTGACACAACACAGAGCGCTTCGCTGAATGACAGAAAGCTGAAGCCGGTTCCACCTCACGTGCCTTTATAGCTTCCTGGTCGCTACGTCACCCGCCTATGACGTCTCGCCCTTCCATTGGAATGATTACACATGTGATTCAGAGCACATAGTGTCTTCGGACGCAGCTCGAGTTCCTGAAGGGGAACTGAATGCATTTATAGCACTTGGAAAGTTTCGCAAAACATGCAAGAAGCAACATAATATAATTTTGTGGAAATGTCACCATAGGCACGCTTTTCCAATGATCTTGGGTTGAAATTATCTGAGCAATGGTCACAATAATGTAATAGTACTGTACTCTTATTGTATGACAACAGTTGTCTCATTTTAATTTTTCTAAGAAATTTTAGGAGAAACACCTGAGATAAATACTATGGACTATATGAATGAACTATATTAAAGGGATCGTTCACCCAAATTTATATCATCATTTACTCACTGTGATAATTCAATAATCATTGATGTTTATTATAATTTAACCTCAAATCTGTCATGACATGTCTTCACAAATGGACCATTTATTTGACAATTAAAGTTGTTTTTTACAGTATGTGATTGTTGGAGCTTGAATGAGTCTGTCCCCTCTCCCTTTAATTCAGTTTTGCTTTATTTTTTTGGGGTGAACTGTTCCTTTATGTCTTCTGAGCTATGAAAGTGAAACTTATGAGCAACAAATAATCCCTTTGGGTGAGTAGGTTCCAGGGCCCAAAAACTCACATATGTATATGAACATTTCAACACCTGCTCATATAACCCATAAATTGAAGGCAAATTGAGAAGAACTGAAAGACAGGTGAGGGAACTGTCAAACAATGCACGTAGTCTGTTAACTAACTTAAACATTAAGCTGATATTTCTACTGTTGTCAAGTAAGATTGTTTAGAGGTAGTTCGTGAATTATTTTAATCAAGTCAGTCTTCTTTAAACAGGTTTGGTGATCTATTGGCAATCAGTGTCAGTAAGTCTTTAACTACAGTGTTTGTTTTCAGAAAGAGTTTGGCAAGCCTGGTGCCTGATCAATGGTCCTTGAGGGCTGTCCCATTACACTGACCTATGGCAATTCTTAGAAGAGTGTATACTGTAGATTATCCAACAAGAAAACTAAGACAACACTCTTACTGATGTGATGGCAACTGTAAAACTTCACCAATTGGCCTTTTCCTGTGCGCTGAAAGTGAATACTTTGAAAAGTTTAAATGCATAATAGTCTGTGGTTCTTCACAGGTCACCTCACAGGAGCATAGCCTTTTGCCTGCTTTTGAGGCATGGCTGGCCTAACCCAGCCTTAAACAATTAGTAGTGACAGGAAACGTTTTACACTGACAGAAAGCACCTCAGTTTAGTGTGTTGAAAACTCCTGTGGAACATTGCAATGGTCAGTCTCAAGCACATGAACATTAGGGGTGAAACACTTGAAAATTAGGGGTGAAAATCAGCAGGGACTTGGTGATATAGTATTATATCATCTATGTTTAGTGTAAATTATGATTTTGCAATCTTTTACACTTTTGTTTCTTATTTATCTGGAATGGACTTCAGTGCTTGATGAGTTTATATTTATAGGTCAGTCTGAATTTGTTTTTGGTTAAAGAGAAGGAATCAAGTATGCATGGCCTCCACAATATATTTTATCTACTCACAGACTTAAGGTGTGGTCAAATTAGGAAATTTTCACAAAAAAGATCCACTGTCTATTGTCAACAGTGTAATGATGTACGAAGCACTGCTCACAAAGAAGTCACTTTCAAACCAAACAGCTTTCTGTTCGTTAACGCAACACATCTGCGTGACCAATTTGAACCTGTTGTGAAATATGTTGATTCCTGTTGAAGTTATTGGATTTCGTCTTCGATAATTCACAGAACTATGGTAAATTTACACACAACTTTACACTGTGTCCAAAACTGCATACTTTCCGAGTAGGTACTTAAAGCATCTGTTGGATGCACATTGGATGCACATTTCAGAAGTAGTAGTAGGTACTTTTCGCCAGCTTTTTTATGAATACTACTCTTTTCACATACTAGGGAAGTAGGCATATTCACATGTAGGGTTAGTAAATCTTTCCAAAAATATTAATGCACATCCAAAAATAAAAACTCATGGCAATGTGATATCGAGACATTATTTTGAGGTACATTTTCACAATACTTTGTCCTGCTTTGTTTTTAAAAGAACAGCGTGATTAAATTAGTGATATACTTGCTGAATTCCGCATTTTTCAGTATTTTTACTGCATGTGATCTGTAAGTGCCCTGTGTTCGCTGAATACATCTTATCCGTGCAATGTTGCGCTCTAGGGAAGCATTCGCTCCCGTTTCCCCTGGAGAGCCCCTTCATTTACCCAGCAGCGCTCTGAGCTGAATGAGAGCCACATGTACCCTGCTACCGTGGATCTCAAATGAAATGTTCTTCCGGTGGGTGACCTCTGACCTCGCCAGACGCTCCTTTGGGCCGGCCTGAGCAGCACCCAGCAGACCTCAGTGGCCTGTTCCCACTCAGCACCTGGGCCTGCACCTTAGACCTGCTTCACATACTTCAACACATTCATATACACACAGCACATGTAGACCAGCTCACTCGTACACACATAGAGCACTACACACAGTCCTGATCTCAGCTTCGTCCAGCGGAGGTCTGTTCCTCTCTCAACACACCGCCGCTTATAAACACCTGGTCCAGCTGCGTCCAGCTCTCATATACCTTGTACCACTGCTCTGCCACACGTGTGCCTTCTGAACCTAAAGATCCTATTAATGGTCTTTCATTGTTTCCCACACACTTCAACAGTCTACATTTAGTGACACACATTAGATTTAACGAGAACAGGCATTTTGTGATTGCCTAGTTGCAGAAATGCAAAATCTTTTTGGTTTTTGGACTCTTGGAGTAAATATTGCAATAAATTGTTTTTTGTTCTGGATAACTAGTCCGTGTTCAACAGGTTCAACCTTTTTTTTTTGGTCTGAATGTTGTATGGTCATATGAAAGCATACAGACAGAAGATAGTACCACGGATGTTTTTGTCCGTCTGCAATAGTTTCCTCCCCTGGGCTGAGGCTTGATAAATGGCTTCCCTCTCCACACTGTAGTCTAAGAGGAAAGCCAACACACACAAACACTAGTACGCACTTCCACAGGCTCATGAAAGGAGCTATAAATGCATCATCAGATAATGAAGAGTGTCAAGGCGGTCTTAACAGAAATAATCCTTCTTTGAATCAAGCAGCTGTCAGGTTTTTTTTTAGCACTAATCCTCTGCAATGAAAAATGTACACAGTTTTTTTTTTTCACAGCGGAATGGTGCTCCATGAAGGGAGTGAACTTGTTATTTGATTTGATTTGATTTGATTTGATTTGATTTAAACCAGAGCGATCTCCTTAATCGACTCTGAAGTCAAGCATGAGATAAGGATTTTCAGCCAGCACCTTCATCTGTGAAACCATGTTTCATGCATGCGTGGGCCTTTTAATGAACATCTTTTTTAATCCAACATATGGCTCTATTCATTGTTCATGCTGGCACTAAATGTTTAGTCCTGAAATGATCTTACTGAACTATAGATCATGATTAGTAATGACGTGAACTGAATTGACTTTCACACTAAAAAAAAAAAAAAATTGTATATAAACATCCTTAGTAAAGATTTTATTGAGAAAAATTGTGTAAGTTAATCAGACTATTATTACATATTATTCTAATTAAGTTTTTGTATCAATGGGCAATTTTTTTTTAAATTCTTTTAAGCGTAAACCTCACTAAAATTTTACTTGAAACAAGAAAAATTATAATTAAGGCTGAGGTATATATTTGGAAAACAGTTTTTATTACCTGTATTTCTTTTGGAGTAAATTTGTCTTGTGTTAAGGGTGTTTATATTTAATTTTTACTGTAAAAATATAGATTAAAATGGGTTTCAATTAAAAATTTAAAGCCATTAAATAAAAGAAACATGTTGTGATATTAAAAAAGATTTTCTGGGGTCCAAAGAAAATTCTGTTGTGGAAGCATTTGATGGTGTTTGCATTTGTGGAATGCTTCTTTGGAGTGTTTTCCTGCTGTGACCTTTGAACCTTGCCACAATGAAATTTAATGCTGGATCACAAAGTTCCTCAGTAAAATTGATTCACTATTCAATATTGAAATCAAATCGTTGTAAAAGCAGACTGAATTTATTATGGCTTGGCAGGGTATTGTGTTCTTCTAGATCAGTATTGTTGACTGGTTCTTTCTTTATTCTGTACCCATTTCTCTCGCCCCTTTTTCAGGGTCCACCTGGACGATCAGGCTTTCCGGTAACTGTCTCATAATGTGTCCTGTTGTCTGTCTATATGTCTGTTTGGTTTTCTTGCATTTTGCCTTTCTTTAGTAGTGTCTTATTTTTAAAAAGCTGTATACAAACAATTCAACCAGAAACTTGAATATGAAAAATTCTGAATTATGTATTATGCAGTATGTCATATATACAGCTTCTTTATTTGGACACACTGAGACCTCCTTTTAACCAAGGGACTGAGGAAGAAAAGTTATTATGTAAAATGAAGATGTATTTCAGATTTGGCACTATTTCTTGTTTGCTAATTAAATAAATGTATGACATTGTTCATGTAAACTCAAATGATCTTGCATCCATTGAAGCTCAAGATGCTCTTTAGATCATTCTCAAATCACGCCAAAGTTACATGATCATCAGGATTCAGTCCATAGTTATGCTTGTAATATGTAATGAGGAAGGAATCCAAAGTGGTCTCAGACTTTTGGACCCCACTGAACATTCCCCTAAACCAGATAAGCTAAGCTAGGCTTAATGTAACGAGTCTTTTAGATAGGCTCAGTGGACAAGTTTCTATTCCTTCAAGTTAGCACATTGTATTTTATACTTAGGCCCTTTGGTGTCTGTCTGGATCCACTCGTCTGCATTTCACCTATAATTCTAATATTACTGACCAAAACTCAAACACATCTGTCTTTCATCATGGCATGCTAGAAGAATCCCATCTAATGTGAACTCTAGTCCTACCTGCCAATTATAACCTACAAACCCCCATCACTCATGACAGCTATTCTTGTGAAACTTTGCCGTAAAATCTTTTTTTGCATACTTTTTGTTGTTGACAGGGCTGGTCAAAGTATGGATGTAATCCCTGCCAAAGCTTTTGATTGATTGCATCATCAGGAAATGAAAGTAAATGTTGTATTTTCTTAGGATGGACGGTAGGGGAGGGTGGCAAGCGTGTTACACCAAATGTGTCCATTATACTAGCTCTTCAAAAAATATTGATATTGGCAGTCACACTCCGTTGAACTATTAAGGGATACTTGTGGTTTGTATATTTAAGCTTTACTGCACATTCACATGTATGTGTGACTATTTAACACTTCTGATTTGTAGTTAAGTACTTTAAGGCTCATTTGGAGAAGTCTGGACTTTGTAGTGTACTTCATCAAGCTACTTCTAATCTAAAGCTCTAGATGATTTTACATACTTTCTACAATAGAAAGATTCTCTTTTACTATGACTGCTTTGAATATTGGCAGTACTGTATGACTTTTATAGTGTATGGCTTATACTGTGCATTTGAGGATAACAATCATATTAAATAGATGATTTAAAACTATTTATTGTATATATAAAATAATGCATAAAATCATTACAATTATTATGGTAACTAATAAATACTGTGGTAAATAATGAATGCCATAAAGCAATATTAAGTTATCTCAAATCAGCACCTTGGACAGAGCTAAGAGAATTCAGTCAAGTGACTTTCCTCTTGGGACATTCAGGAGCAGGCAGTGAATTAACTCTGAAGGTCAAACTAAATGAACACTTCTAATATGGGAACCTTTATCTTAATAGCTTTGGGGCTTAGCAAATCAACTACGCACCAGAAAAGCTACAGTTCATGAGCAAATTCATTGTTTTAGCAAATGTTTTGTTGACTTCTGATGAGTTATGGGGGCTTAGCCAACCCACCCCTTTGCCCGCACCCTCCCCCCTTTTTCCATTACGTGTTACTCGAGTGAGTCGTCAGCAAGCTGTCAACGCCCCAGGCCTTTGACCTGCAACGTTAGGAATGCAAATAAAAACAGCTGTAGGAATGGACAGCCTTGCATAATAAGTCCCTTCAACGTTGCAGGAGTTTATAGCTGCATTAAATAGCGTAAAATGTTTGGAAATGCATTGGTACAGGGCTGTAAATGGTGAATCCTTATGACCATTTATTCAAGATCTCAGGTTACTACTCACACATTTCCCATATGTTCTGAGGATTTTTGCCTTAATTGAAAGAAGTGGTCGGATTTTGAGTAGGGATTAGCTATGATTATGATAGAATGGGGTTCATAGTTGTTAAAAGGATAGTTCACCCAAACATGAAAATTCTGCTTTTTTTATGTCTTCAAGGCTTTCTAAACCTTTCCATGGAACTTAAAAGGAGAACATTCCATTGTTAATTCCATTGTTCATTATACCTGTATGGCAGTGGCGAGCGGTGACTTTTTAAACAGGGTATGCTGAGTGAT